CCATTCTGCCCAGCAGGCTTGCTATGAATCTGGATGGACTCTTTGGCAGTAAGTTTTCTGAGTCGTCTCCTGCAGTCCTGACTCACAGTGTTCAGAAAGCCTCACTCTGGTGCTATTTTGTTGGCATCTTAGAGGAACCGAGGATAGGTTTATAGCCCCAATCATCTGCAGTACTCAATACTCCTAAGCACCTGGGGATTGCTATCGTGTCAAGTACAACTTTACATTGGGAAAGATTTCCGTTAACCAGCTTTTAGGTGCTATACGTCAATAAATCAAAGGTAGCATCAATTAGAATAGGTGCTATTGTTTTATAGATTAAGGAAAAGAACTGCAAAATAATTGCAAGATTGATTACAAGACAAATCCTGATTGGGCATCTTAGAACTAATCAGATACCGGAGGCTCCAGACTGATGCCGAGGCAGAACGTCCCAGGTGTGTGGACCATTTGATCCACTTCTACACACAGGTGGTCTTGTCCCAAACCAACCTTTGTGGGGTACTCACGGTGTGGTGGGCACTTTGAAAATACTTTCTATTCCTAAAGCAGGTCTGAATAGGGGGTGTAGAAATCTTTCTGGTAACTGTGCTCAAAAGTCCTGTAGCTCCTATACAGTTGGCCAAGATTCAGAACCAGTCCACCTCCATTTCACTAAAAGCTCTGGGGGGAAGAGATCTTGTCCCTTATTTCAAACACTCCCAGGTCCATTAACCTCAAGACTGCATTTACTTGATTTGAGCTTTCATCAACCCATCTGAATTCCCTTAAGACCATGGCCTTCTCTTGTGAGCGATTTGCCTCATCACAGACTCTCCCACCCCCACCCCCACCCTCACACAACTCACAGTGGCTCTCTCACCCCCCAGCTTGGATCCAAGAGCTTTAGTGGCCCATGAAAAGCCGGGGCCCTCTAATGCTTCAAAGCGATCTTAAGTCTAATGTAGGCAGGCCTCTGGCTGGTAGAGCAGACTGACATCAGCCCCTTGAACTCTCGGCTGCGCTGCAGAACCTGAGTGTGGCGGAAATTTGAATCCTAAGTGCAGCAGACTTCAGGGTCTGGAATTTTGGCATCAATACCTGAAAAGGGGCAATGTGGGCACCTAGGGGAGTCTATGGAAAACATGATCAGTCCTTCTTTGGCTCCTGCACCCATAAGAGGCAAGAGCATTCTAGGACCGCCCAGGGTCTTCCCGGGGCTCTTGGGGGCTCCTCCAGGCATCTTCTGTGACGCTCTGGTGGTCCTGCTGGGGGCTGTCCAGGAGCTCTCTTGCTCCATATCTGAGTGAAAAACATTTGCTTAATTTTCAGGGGTTTTGTAGCTGAATTATATCTGCATTAAAAAATATATATAAACCTGTGGAGTCAATTCAGTCCCATGTATCACAGTTGAACTATGCTCAGTAGGTTTTCAATCACAGATAGATCTTTTTATTTTTCAGAAATATGTTGCTAGTCCTTTCTTCTGAAGTGCCTTTGGGTAGATTCAAACTTCCTACCTTTGGTCAGCAGCCAAGGGCTTTGACGTTTTGTACCACCCTTGGACACTGGACAGACCCCATAATCTTTGACTTGTAAGAAGTTACTAAGGTTGGCTTCCGTGTTTCGGAGTTCAAGATTCTTATAATTTAGGAATGTCCCCAAGGGGACACCTAGACTGACCTGAATTAAACTCTAAGGACTGACTGATGTTCAGTGATCCGACAGAGGTTTCCAGTACTTGAACATGGAGTCTAGGAGCATCCCAGGTGACATTCCTACAGGGCTGGGAAACACCAGGGTGGTGTCTAAAACGGGGTGGTTCTCATGGCTCTGAGGGGAGGGAGATGGTAACTTGGGGATTTCCAGGTCAACCAACATCCTTTTAAGATTTGTGTCATATTAATGATCCAGGAAGAGATGAAAGTTTCTAGAGCCAGGGAATATTACTTTAGTTTTCGAAGGCTTCCTGTTTTGAAGTTTGAGAAGGCAAAGGGTTTTCCTAAGTTTTTGTTAACAAAAAATGAGGTTTCTAGAGTTCCAGTACCTCTTTCAGCGCCATTTTCAAATGTCACGAAAACAGATTCTCAGAACCCATCAGGCCACATTGCAAACATCACGAGATCAGCACGTGCAGCATCCCAGGGCTCCGGAAGACAGGCAGGCAGGCTACCCAGTCTCCATCTGCTACATGGTGTTCCCGTGCAGGAGCTGGTGCATACCCTGGCATCAAGGAACCCCTTACTAAGTCTGATTTAAGGAGTATAAAAAAGACAGGAGCTCTGGCAAAAACTTGAGAAAAGGGTCCCATTTTTCCTGAACTCATGAAATAAAAAGAAAGGAAACTCCAAGGTCTAAGCAGCAAGGTTCAGATGATCGACAGAGACAAGGCTTCCGAGGGTCTGCTGAGATGGCCATGTTTAGGCTCCTCAGCTCAGGAAGTGGGCAGGTAGTCCCTGATCTGTGTGTCCAGCAGCAGATTCAACAGGGCAGGAGCCTGAAGTTCTTAGCAGAGCGTTTAGTTCAGATGGTGGCAAGTGTGCCAGGGATGGGGTCAGGGAAGACGCCTTAAGGAAGTTGGATGCGGGGTTGACACCTGAGTAGGCTAGGCTCCAGGTGGGTCTGGAAGCTGTGGACGTTTGGGCAAAGAAGAGTGGGTAGTAGGAGCTGCTTACACCAGGGCAGTGGAGAGTGCTGGCTGTGCTCTCTGGGGGGAGGGGTTAACTCTTCTGGGGGGATGAAGGGATGCTTTGGAGTGCCTGTGAAGATATTTGCATACACACACCCCTGTGAAAAGTGTGAGGTGAGAAGGGCTAACCCATTGTTGTGCGGCCTCACCAAAGGATTATTTGTACTGGTGAATTTGTCAAGGGCCAAGATTTTATCCCCAGCTGTATCTGAGAAGTCTTTGCCCCCCTTTAGTACAGCAAACACAAAACCTCTCTTTCAAGGAAGGGGGCCTCACATTAACCACTTTATAAAAGTTTCCAAATAAAGTGAAAACTTATGAATTTATGAGAAATATAACTTGGCCAATCAATAGAGCCAAAACAGTCATCTCACATCAGAGAAAGAGAGAGAAGAGAGAGAGAGGGAGAGAGCGCTCGTTCATATCCACAGTGGCACTGTCCCAGCAGCTAGGCAAGCCCAGCACCAGGAGGCTCGGTGAAGTTGCAGGTGAGAGACTTTTACTGGGCTCCATTCCAAAATCGGAGGTTAGGCAAGCAGCCAAGGCAGACAGTTCTGGACCAAGGGCAGAAGTCCAAAAAAAAATGGGCAGCCAAGATCAAACACAGATGTCACAGGGTGTTCATGGCCCGGGCCTCAGTCAGGCTTAGGAGGACAGTGACATTAGTAACCAAGAGGAGACCAGAGCTACACACCTGCCTTCTCCTTGGTGACTATCCCGATCGTGCTACGAAGACAACACAGCTGGCAAGATGACGGGCACATCTCAGAACAATCAACCATTTGAGATCGAAAGGGCAACATTTACCTGAGGAAGGAGTTCAGAAGGGCCAGAGAGGAGGAGGACTGGAAACCGGACATCAGGGAGGCAGCGGGGTCGGCTGAGGCTCCGTGGAGGGGGGGCAAGGAATCAGGGGACCCGTGTGTGTGCGCTGCTGAATGCCAAACTTAGGGTGCTCTGGGTCAGCCTTCCCCAGTTCACAATGAAGAGCTTCAAAACAAACACATGGTGTCTAGAATGGGGACATGGAACATCTTAGCCAAAGGAACCACATGAAAAGAGGCAAGGAGGTGAGGGGTTTGGAATTCGTATGGAGAACACAAGAAATTCTGACCAGATCAGCAAACTATGGTCCATGGGCCAAATGGCCCATATCGCTTTTTTTTAAAAAGCTGAATGGTTTTTACATTTTTAAATAGTTGAACCCTAGGCTGGATGATTATAGAAAGAAATTGATGCCGGAGCAGCAAGCAGCCGTAGACTGATGACAGCAGGTTACTCTAGCATGATGGAAAAGTTGACCCCAAGCCTGAGAGCCTGTCCTTTAGACGGGAGCTGGCCTTGGTGGGGTGAGCAGTGGGGACTGGGAGGAGTGTGGCACATTTCTGTCCATGCAAAATTCTGAGCATGGGTTTGCATTCTTGACTACAAAACCTTTACTGCTGAGGCCCTATTTTGCTACCAAATACTCACATCGCATTCCACGGAATCCCATTCAGTCTGCCTCCTGGCATCCTATTTGTCTCTGCCTCTGGCACTTCCAGCCTGCCCCTGCTGTTTCTAAGGGCGAACACAACAATTTTTGAGTTTCCAGTGCAAACCTGCTCGACAAGGGCATAGCAGGCCTTATAAAATGACACTTCTCTGAGGTGGTCACCACTTCAGACACTCTTTACCCAGCCTCTTCCCCCAGCCCCCAACACTTGTCACCCTCTCTCAGTTCTGGCTTGGTGAGGTGGCGGTGGGTGGGGAGGGGGACGTTCATGGCTGCCCATCACTGCCCAGGTGCACTCACTTTCACTTCTTTGATTGAACAAACATTTATTTAGTGCCTACAGTGTGCCAGGCACTGTGCCGGGGGTACAAAGTTGGATAATACACGGCCCCTACCCTCAAGGAGCTCACAGTCTAGGAGGAGCGGCAAACATGTAAACAGATACATTACAATACGTTGTGTTGAGTGTCGTCATAGAGGTATCAACAAAGTGCTGTGGGGCACAAAAGGGGGCAGGCAACTCTTCCTGGGGGGAGGAGGGGTCTCAGGAAGGGCTCGCTGGCCGTGCCTTGCATGCCTAGGTGGCACACCCGTAACGGGGCAGGTCACATTACCCAACCTTCTCTCCTGGCGCCAGCAGAGGAGAGGCCTGCTTCTGCATGCTCAGGATAATGTCACCAACCTCTCTCCCGGATGGCTCCCGCTGCCAGGGCCTAGAGGGACTGAGGGCAGCTACTCACCTCCCCGGGCTGCAGGAATGTGGTCAGAAGAGCCTTCAAGGGGCTCAGAGCCAGCGAACAGATCCCTGCTTGCCCATGTGCGCCCCCCCCCTCCCCCCCCGGACCCCTTGGAGTTCCTCTGCGAGGCTGCCCCCTTATTTTGAAAACACTGTTCAGGAGATGCCAGGCTCCTGACCTATTGCTTGTCTTCTTTCTCAGGCTGGATCGGGTGCCAGCGGTTCTTACCAGGCCTCAGTTCAGGACTGAGGCATCGCTACCCTGTGATGTGCCCCACATGGAAGCCCACTCGTGCTCCACACGGGCCCCACATAGCAGCCCTCCGACAGCTGAATGTCTTTTCTCGTGGAACTCACAGTTGCGTCACCAGCTCAATGAGCTGCTGGATGTTTTTGTGTTGGTTGGATAGACCATTCCTGATGTTTTCCAGCATGCATCTCTTCAACTCAAAGATGGCTTCACTGTATCCCAAACTCACCGGAGCCATGGGGGGGACCCCATGCCACAGGCCAGGAATGTGCCACACGTGCTGTTTCTCTGGGTCACCAAAGGCCACATTAGCCAGTGTCCGGACACCGTCTCCTCGTGCTTCCCCACAGGCCAAAGGCAGACCCCCCTCACTCAGGGGCTCTGAGCACTGCTTCCCATCTCTCAGCTGGGGGCTGGCGGCAGATGGGCCATGGAGGTTTTGGTAGACAAACTGATAGCTGGGGGTGTGCCCGCTGGTCTCCAGCCTCAGGAACGCGTGCAGAAGAGCCAGGGGGACATCCCTCGTTTCCGCTAAGCTGACCACCGTGACGTTGCTCAGTCCCATAATCAGTGTGGCCAGAGAGGCCTCCGACTCAAACCGCTCTCCCGCTGTGGTCAGCGCCCCCCCAAGCCACCCTCCCGAGTCGATCACCAGGATATGGTCACAACCCAGGTCCTGGCTGAAACTCTCCGTCACTTCCACAAGCTGCATGAAGGCCCCCCGGGGGCTGCTGCTCTTGCCGGCAGCAAACCGCAGCCCAAACATGGTGTTCAGCAGTGTGGACTTGCCCGTGCCCGGTATGCCCAGGGCTGACAGCACCACCAGGCGCGACCTTCTCTCCAGCCGAGCCTGCAGCTCCTTGAGCAGCCCAGTGACCCAGCGCAGGGGGACACTGAGGCTGGCCCCGTCCACCAGCTCCAGGGGGAACCCCCGCAGCAGCAGCTCCAAGGCCAGGCCTGGGAAGTGGGTGAACCGCCGCTGGCTGGCTGGTAACTTCCCAGCCTCAACCAGGCAGCTTTCTGCTTCATAAAACTGTCCCATTTCCCGCAGGAAGTGCTCCACCCCGAGGGGTTCGGGCCAGAGCAGCTCTGTAGCATCCACAACCCCGCAGTGCTTGGCCCTCAGGCTGAGGAGCGTCTCTGGAGGGGGCCTGAGCCTCTGCTGCCCGAGCCTGGCCAGGCCCAACTCCATCCATCTCAGGAAGTATTGCTTCTCCCCCTGTGAGGGGCAGCTGATGCCCCTGATAAACTCTTGCAACCCCCAGGTGGGGTCGAGGCTGTTCTGCTGCGCTCGAAGTTCCAGGACCCTGCCCCTCAGCTCAGACCTGCACGTCTCCGGAGGGTCTCCAACCCACTGAAGACGAGAGAGCTCCTTTTCCACCAGCGCCACCTTCCGCCAGGCCTCCCCCTGCAGCCGCAGCTCCTCCCTTCGGTAGGCGTCGGGGTCGCGGATTTTCCTGGTAATTTTCTCCATCCGCTCCTTGGCCTTCTGACACTCCTCGCAGTCTTCGTCCACTCTGAGGCCCAGCTTGCGCGCGGCGTTGGCCATGTCCTCCACCGACACTCTCCTGCACGGCGACCGCATCACGCAGCGCACGATGGACTGGAGCCTCCGCACAAAGCTCTCGTTGTCCGTGCTGCTGACCTTCACCAGGACATGCGAGTAGTCCATTTTCAGCACGGGGATCAGTTTATTCAGGAACCTCAGGTTGGTGTTCCGCTTGCCTCGGTAGGGGCTCAGGATAAAATAGTATTTGGTGTTCGACTCCTTCATCGAGAGCAACAGTTTGTACTCCTTCTTACTGATGTTGTCCGTCAGGATAAAGACGGCAGAGGAGATGTCCGCCAACAGCTTAAACTGCAGCCAGTGAGACCCAATGTCGCCTCTCAAGTTTAGGAAGGCCACGGGCTCCGAGAAGATGTCCACATCCTCCCGGCCACTTGGGAAAAACCAGGAGATTTCAACCAGGCCATCTGCGATCTCCCGCGGGCTGGCGCCCAAGTTCAGGTCCCGATGCCAGAAGCAGTCCCGGGGTTTATGGCTTGGGCTGAGGATGGCATTGAGCAGCTGCGACTTGGAGTTACTGCTCACGTCCATGCGGACAAAGGTAAAGGTGGGCATCCTGGGGAGGACCACGCTGTCCTCCTTGAAACTTCCCGGCCCCCGCATGGGCTGTGACCACCATGTCCGCACTAGGCCCCGCAGGGCCCACAGCAGAAACACGTGGTAGTGGTTCTCTGAGTCCGGCAGCACAAGGGGGAGAGCAAACTGACAGAGGAGCATCTTTAAGACGATGTCCTGCTGCAGGAAGCCGTCTGAGGAAAGCAACAGGGCGCAGAGGAGGTCCAGCGGGTTCACTGGGGTGTCCGGGGTAGGCAGCTCCGAGAAGGAGTAGATGTCAGCAGAAACGTCATCAGCAGTGTCCCAGTACAGGACCTCCTCCTCCAGGTGGCCCTCCTTTTCCCCAGGCCGGGCTTCCGGGGGCACATCCAGCACCATGGTGGTGTTTCTGGCCTCGGCATTGAGGGCCTGGAGCTTCCTTAGAAAGTTCCAGGGCAAGTCTTTGGGCACCTGAGGGGCCCAGTTCTTCATGCTGTCAGAGCTGATCTGCAGGGAAGTCTGGAGGCTGAGTTTCTGCACCTGATAGGCCTCTAGCCCCAGAAGTGATAGCATTTCTTGCAGCCGGCTTCTCTCCACTAGAGAAAGAAATGAACAGATAAGTGCCCACACCGCACACCCAGGTCAGGGGGCTAGAATGGAGTTGGAGACGGAGAGCCCAGCAGGAGGGCAGATTCCCAATGCCTCCATTCAGGAGGCGGTGGGAAGGATGGAGATTGTGCCACGTCACCAGGCAGGTCACAGCCGGCTGGCCTGACCAGAGCAGGTGCTCTGGACCTAGACACTGGAGTAAAATAGATTTAGGTCAAATGTCAAGCCCAGCCAAAAATAATTGGCATCAAAAAACAAAAGAAGAAAAAGAAAACTCTTGGCTATACTTAAGAATTGGGTGATTTCACGTAAAAATCTGGATTTCTGGTGTTTCTTAAAACACCAAAAGCTCACTCAAGCTGTCAGCAGAAGTCTTCAATTCACTCCATAATTTTCCAGTTAATGCTATTTCCTCTTTACAAATAAATTGGAGGGTTTAAAAAAGAAAACTGGAAACGGGGATACTATAAAGCATGTTGCTGTGTGCGCCTGACCCACAGTGAGCGTAGAATGACTCCAAGGGGGGTCCCTAGGCTGACATCTTTATGGGAACTGATCATCAGCCCTTTCCTCCCATGGAGAAACCTTCTGGTGAGCAACCGAGTGCTTACCAATTGTACCACAAGAGCGGAGCATCACTCCTTATGACTAGGCACAGATCATCAGAAATCCTAGCGTAACTGCCATTTAAAATATTTGACACCAATAATAGTTTTAAATTTTTTACTGTATTAAAATTTGGGGAACGGACTATGAATAAATCTGCATGTCATTGGGCAGATCTTCAAAGAGTGCCTGATACAAGATTAATTCTCACAGCTGCTAAGTGCTTGGAGCAGTCAGGCTACTTTCCAGGTGGGCCACACTGTTCTTCTCATTTCCCACCCATTCCCTGCTCCTGACCAGCTTCCTTACTGGATCTGGTTACTACCTGTGAAATATAAGTACACAAAATAAATAGATACGAGTTTCTCTGAACCCCAGGTTTTATCCCAGCTCCTTTCTCAAGCAAGGAAGCCAATCTGTGACCGTTGCCCAAAATGCTCACAAGGAGCCGCTTGCACTGAGCAGCGCATCTTCAGATGTCTACCAAGTTAGTCAAGTTAATGATTCAAGGCACTCCCTATGTGACTAATGGGACGGACTCACAGCACTGGAACATGCATATCGAATTCCCTTGCAGGTTCTCAATCTATTGACTAGTGTCTTTTTTCAGATTTTACCCTCCAGGGGCAGAGAGAGCTCCAGAGCAGTATGAGTGCAGTCCTAGAGAGGACAGGGCACTGGTGCAAAAGCGTGTTGTGAAAGCCACAAGGCGCTGTGTGAAGGTCATGCTGTGGAGGAAATACTGTGGAGATGTCACTAGAAGTTCTGCCTGTGTCAAAGCAAGGACATTGAGGCCAGGCTTTTTACTTTTTAACAGCATGTTAGTAGAAAGCAATGAGGAAAAGTCAGAGCAAACACAACCTATTTGTATATCCACTCAGTCCATGTGAGCCTGGGCAAGGTGCTTGGCAGTGTAGGGCCTAAGGGCCTACGGCTTCTGATCTGTAAATGCAGCACCAGATCAATGGTTATAACATGGCCATACATCAGAATCACTGTAGAACTTACTTCCTGATTTTCACCTCCAAAGATGCCCACCTACAATGTTGGGGTGGAGTCTAGTTATTGGATCTTGTTAACAAGCTCCCAGGAATTTTGTTTTGGCAAGACATCTAAATGTGAATGATATAGAAGGAGTGAACTGATGGATGCATCCTCAGTCCGAGTGACCTACCTTCCCTGCCTTCACAGGTGGTTTTGATGTATCCCCTCATCCTACATAATATTTCCTTCTCAATAGAACCTGAACCTAGAAGCCAAACAAATTTACTGGCATTGAGTTCATTCTAATTCACTCATAGCAGCCCTGTAAGACAGAGTAGAACTTCCCCCTTGGCATCTGGAAGCGGTAAATCTTTATGGGAGCAGGAAACCTCATCTTCCTCCAGAGGAGCAGCTAATGGATTTGAACTAATGACCTGTGGTTAGCAGCCCAATGAATAACCCACAATACCACCAGGGCTCCTTAAAGCTAGAAGAGACATGGAAAAAAAATAGAGAGAAAGGGTGAACAGCAGGAACTAGTGCAGAGGTCTGAGGGGCCGGCCCCAATCCCAACTACTATTGGACACCTGTCCCTCCCCCCAGAAGAATTTACTTCAAAGGATGGCATTGAATCTGCAGCTCCCGGAGAGGGATATATCTGATCAGAGTACATGGGAGCAGATGAAGGGGGAGGAGGAGACAGTGGAGCACATCCTGGCCCACCAGGCCATGAGGATGATGTTCCCAGTTAGAGCAGCCAGTCCACAGAAAGGACCACAAGGCTGGGCCCACTATGAGACATGACGCCCCTCACTAACCCATAGCCCTACAGGGGACAACACTGGAGACACAGTGTGCGAACTGCGCCCGATCTGATCCCGCCACACTGAAGCAAAACAACTAAGGGGTGCAACAGAACAGCAAGGGAACGGAGCAGCGAGGTCCCCAGGGAATGCTGAAGGTGGACTTTGGGGCCAGGGC